GGGTGTGGTGGTGGGCGCCTGTCATCCCAGCTACTCGGGTGACTGAGGCAGAAGCATTGCTTGAACCCAGGAGGTAGAGGCGGCAGTGACCTGAGATTGTGCCACAGCCTGAGTGACAGAGCGAGACTCCATCTCAAAGTAAAAGATCCAAACAAGCTCAATGAGCAATGAAATAGGAGACAATACAACCAATACCACAGAAATATGAAAGATTATTCAAAGCTACTATGAACACCTTTACATGCATAAACTAGAAAACCTTGAGATGGATAAATTCCTGGAAATATACAACCTTCCTAGATTAAACCAGGAAGAAATAGAAACTCTGAACAGACTAATAACAAGTAGTGAGACTGAAATGGTAATTAAGAAATTGCCAGTGAAAAAAAAAGTCCAGGACAAGACAGATGCACAGCTGAATTCTGTCAGACATTCAAAGAAGAAATGGTACCAATCCTATTGACAATATTCAAAAAGATAGAGAAAGAGGGAATCCTCCCTAAATCATTCTATGAAGCCAGTGTAACACTAATACCAAAACCAGGGAATGATCTAACAAAAAAAGAAAACTACAGACACATGTCCCCGATTAACACAGATGCAAAAATCTTCAACCACGTATCAAGAGAATCCACCATGATCAAGTGGGTTTCATACCAGGGATGCAGGGATGGTTTAACATACATAAGTCAATAAATGTGATACACCACATAAACAGAATTAAAAACAAAAATCACACCATCATCTCAACAGATGCAGAAAAAGCATTTGACAAAATCCAGCATCCCTTTATGATTAAAACCCTCAGCAAAATCAGCACAGAAGGGACAAACCTTAAGGTAATAAAAGCCACCTATGACAAACCCACAGTCAACATTATATCGAATGGGAAGAAGTTAAAAGCATTCCCCCTGAGAAGTGGAAAAAGACAAGGATGCCCACTTTCACCACTTCTACTCAACATAGTACTGGAAATCCTAGCCAGAGCAATCAGACAAGAGAAAGAAAGGGCACCCAAATTGGTGAAGAGGAAGACAAAAGACTGCTGTTTGCTGCTGATATAATCGCATACCTAGAAAATCCTAAAGACTCATCCAAAAACCTCCTAGAACTGGTAAGTGAATTCAGCAAAGTTTCAGGATACAAAATTAATGTGCACAAACCAGTACCTCTGCTATATACCAACAGTGACCAAACCGAGAAACAAATCAAGAACTCAACCCTAGGCCGGGCACGGTGGCCCACACCTGTAATCCCAGCACTCTGGGAGGCCGAGGTGGGTGGATCACCGGAGGTCAGAAGTTTGAGACCAGCCTGACCAACATGGCGAAACCCTGTCTTTACTAAAAATACAAAAATTAGCTGGGTGTGGTGGTGGCGTGCCTGTAATCCCAGCTACTTGGGGCAGGGGCTGAGACAGGAGAAGCACTTGAACCCAGGAGCTGGAGGTTACAGTGAGCTGTTGTGCTACTGTACTCCAGTCTGGGCAACAGAGTGAGACGCTGTCTCAAAAAAATAAATACATAAAATAAAATAAAAACGAAAATTATTCAACCCTTCTTACAATAGCTAAAGGAAAATAAAATACTTAGGAATATACCTAACCAAGGAGGTGAAATACTTCTCCAAAGAAAACTACAAAACACTGCTGAAAGAAATCACAGACGACATAAACAAATGTAAACCCATCTCATGCTCATGGATGGGTAGAATCAATATTGTGAAAATGACTATACTGCCAAAAGCAATCTACAAATTCAATGCAATTCCCACCAAAATACCACCATAATTCTTCACAGAACTAGAAAAAAATTCTTAAAATTCATATGGAACCAAAAAAGACCCTCCATAGCCAAAGTAAGACTGAGCAAAAGGAACAAATCTGGAGGCACCACATTACCTGACTCCAAACTATACTATGAGGCCATGGTCATCAAAACAGCATGGTACTGGTATAAAAATAGATACACAGAATGAAGCAGAATAGAAAACCCAGAAAGAAAGTCAAATACTTACCAGCCAACTGATTTTTAACAGAGCAAACAAAAACATAAAGTGGGGAAAGGACATCCCATTCGACAAATGGTGCTGGGATAATTGGCAAGCCACATGTGGAGAATGAAACTGGATCCTCATCTCCCACCTTATAAAAAAATCAACTCAAAATCGATCAAAGACTTAAATCTAAGACCTGAAACCATTAAAATTTTAGAAGATAACATCAGAAAACCCTTCTAAACATTGGCTTAGGCAAAGACTTCATGACTAAGAACCCAAAAGCAAATCCAACAAAAACAAAGATACACAGATGGGACTTAATTAAACTAAGAAGCTTCTGCACAGCAAAATAAATAATCAGCAGACTTAACAGACAGCCTACAGAGTGGGAGAAAATCTTCACAATCTATACTTCTGACAAAGGACTAATATCCAGAATCTACAGGGAACACTTTTACACTGTTGATGGGAATGTAAACTAGTACAACCATTATGGAACACAGTACAGAGATTCCTTAAAGAACTAAAAGTAGATCAACCATTTGATCCAGCAATTCTACTACTAGGTATCTACACAGAGGAAAAGAAGTCATTATATGAAAAAGACACTTGCACATGCATGTTTATAGTAGTGTAATGCACAATTGCAAAATTATGGAACCAGCCCAAATGCCCATTTTTCAATGAGTGGATAAAAAATATATGGTGTGTACACACACACACACACACACACCCACACCACGGAATACTACTCAGCCATAAAAAGGAATGAAATAATGGCATTTGCAGCAACCTGAATGGAACTGGAGATTATTATTCTAAGTGAAGTAACTCGGGAATGGAAAACCAAACATAGTATGTTCTCACTCGTAAGTGGGAGCTAAGCTATGAGGATGCAAAGGCGTAAGAATTATACACTAGCATTTGGGGACTCAGGGGAAAGCATGGGAGCGGGGTGAGGGATAAAAGACTACACACTGGGTACAGTATACACTGCTCAGATGATGGGTGCACCAAAATCTCAGAAATCTCCACTAACTTATTCATGTAACCAAACACCACCTGCTCCCTAAAACCTACTGAAATTAAAAAAAAAAAATCCAAAAAATAAAAAATAAAATCCTGAAGTTTCCCATCCTTTAAAATTAAAAAAGGAAAAAAGAAATAAAAGGCATCCAGAGATAAACTATCTCTATTTGCCAATGATATGATCCTGTATATAGAAAATTCAAACTACATAACTACTAGAGGTAATAAATGAGTTCGTCAAGGTTGTGGGATCAAAGATAAACACCTAAAAGGCAACTGTATTTCCATATGCTAGCAATAAAAACTCCAAAAATAAACAAAACAATTCCATTTATAACAGCATCAAAAGAATAAAATACTCGCTGGGCATGGCTCACCCCTGTACAAAGTGCTGGCTCTCCCAGCACTTTGGGAGGCTGAGGCAGGTTGGATGACTTGAGCTCAGAAGTTCAAGATCAACCTGGGCAACATGGTAAAACCTTATCTCTACCAAAAATACAAAAAAAATTGTGGTGGCACGTGTCTGTGTTCCCAACCACTTGGGAGGCTGAGGTGGGAGGATCATCTTGAGCCTGGAAGGTGGAGGCTGCAGTGAGCTGAGATTGTCCCAACACACTCCAGCCTGGGTGGCACAGAGTGAAATTCTATCTTTAAAAAAAAAAAAAAAAAAAAAGGAGAGGAGCGAGAGAATACTTACAAATAAATTTAACAAAAGAACTCCAAGACTTGTATACAGAAAACTGCAAAACATTATTGAAAGGAATTACAGAAATACACCCATATGTTTACAGTTAACTTATTCTCTATATGGTTGCCAAGGCCATTCGATGTGGAAAGAAGAGTCTTTTCAACAGTGATGCTATCCACACACAAAAGAATGAAGTTGGACTTCTACTTCACATTACAAAAATCAACTCAAAATGAATCAAAGACCAAAATGTAAAAGCAAAACCATAAAACTTTTAGAAGAAAACTTAAGTCTTTGTGATGTTGGATTATGCAATGGCTTCTCAGGTACAATACAAAAAGTTACAAAAGAAAAGATATTTTAAAAAGCATTGATTTTTAGACTCAATCATTACCATGAAATTGCATTTTCTAAAGTTTTATCCACTTATACTTCAACAAAAATGTATCAGTATATTTTTACCCCATACTGTCACCAGCAGAATGTACTGATAAACTTTTTGAACCTTTGGTAACATAATGTTTAAAATGTATTAACTGTTTTAATTTGCATTTATGTTATTACTCACCTTTTTCTACTTTTTCACCTTAACAAATTATGTTGAGATATTCACATACCATAAAATCTACCTTTTTAAAGTATGCAATTCAGTAGTTTCTAGTTTATTCACAGAGTTGTGCCATCATCATTACTCTCTAATTCCAGAACACCCTTACTGCCCCATAAACAAACCCTGTACCTGTCAGCAGTCACTCCCCATTCTGCCTACGCCCACCGCCTGGCAGCGGCTCATCTACTTTCGGTAGGTATAGATTTATCTATTCCGGACCTTTCATTTAATAAGATTACGCAACAAGTGGGCTTTCGTCCCTGATCCATTTAAAATGACAAAGTTGTAACTAATTATTTTAGTATATCCGAATGCACAAAAAAACTTGGTTACTAAAAATCCAGTCATTCAATTAGACTTCTAAAATGATTTAAATATATGGCGCTGTGTAAGTGACCAATGGTTAGAGACAACCTTTTGTGAAAGTTAGCCATCATAATTTCAAAATTAAACTATAAATCTCTATTTAAAAATTTCTACTTTACATAAGGAAAAGAAAAAAAACCAAAGGAGGACATATTATTTCATTTACTGTAGCTATTACAGCTATAGATTATAGTGATAGGACATCTTAAGAGAAATGTATTAGAGAAAATGCCACGGTCTTCGTATTTGTATGAAAAACTGAACAGGAAAGGCAGAATTACTTAAACGTGGGGAGGAAACGGAACTTACATAAGTTGGTGTTTCCAAGCTATCTGTGTTGACCAGGACTGGAGGAGGATTTGCCTTAAAAAAAAAATTGTAAACGTGTTAGCTTAACAAGAAAACAAAAACATTACACGTTAATGTTCACAATGTTAGAGGCACATGAAAGACTTGCTATTTCTTAAGTTATAATCTTATATGAGCTTTTTATGTTAAATAATATATCCTTTTTCCAGCCCCAAACAGAAAAAATTATGTATAAGCGTTAAAATAGATTTGCTTTTAAGAAATAAATTGTTATTTCTGCTAAAACAGTCATGATTTTCTTAAGTTTTACACAGATCACCATAGCCTTCTCATAAAATCCATGAATATTCTTTAGTGTAACCAACAACTCTTCCTAGGTTGCTCAGAAATCATTGTTTTCTATTCCCAAGGATACCATAAAGATTTCAATCATTTCATCACTCAGGAAAAAATTCTTTCCACAGTGAACTGTTTTTATACAGGGGGAAAAAAAAATAAGTCTAACACAGAAATTAATTGTAAACTTTTAGAAAACTAAAAATACACTCTTAATGTAAAAACCCCTGATTATTTTCAGCTGCAATGATAGCTTTCCACTGTTATTCTAGACCACTCACAGAATTAACAGTGATCTATTATGGCAAGAAAAATAAGCAGAATAACACACACCTAGTTAAGTTTGGATTGAAAAAAGTCTTGGTTTTCTGGTTAGGTTAGAAATTATGATGTATATGAAACTAAAGAATAAAATGCAATTAATACCAAATGAAAAATATATTAAAAAACTGATGTAATTCCCCTCAAATTTCTTTCTTCTGCATATTTAGTTATAAAAGTATCAAGTCAAATAACAGTTTCAGAGAATAAAAAAGATGACTATCATTTAAACAAACTTTAGAAGATATGCTTATAAACATTAATAGTTCTACTTAATTAACTAAAGAATTATACATAAAAGCTGTATAAAAGAACATTATAACACAAAATAACCACTTTCTTCCAAATATATAGGCTTTTAATAATGGTGAATATTCAAAGTTCAAATAACATTATTTTCGGCACAGTGCTATAGCTAAATGATATGATAAAATGCTTAGACAACCTAGTTTCATGGTTAAATAATTATATGGTATGCATTTCGGCTATATCAAGCAGTAAGTTAAAAATGAGTAGCTAATACTTCATTATATATAAACATAAAATAAAATATAATACTTCATGTTTAGTCCCACCATTGATTAACAGTCTACCTTTGAATAATTCAGTGAAAGTCCACTTAACAAATAAAAATTGTATTTATAAAATTGCTATTTAAGCAAAGTTATTCAACTTACAGACATTTGAGATTTTATGAATATTTCAAATTACTTATTTCGCAATGGCATATTGAGAATACTCAAACATAATATTTTACTTTGCTAAAAAAATTAATACAACTTCACTTTATTCTGCTTAAGCAATTACAGAAGAAGAGGGCAAGAAAGAATAGGATATTTAAAGTTACAAAAGAAATTACATTTTTAAAACACTATGGGAAGAAAGTCTTTTGGTCCCTCGGCCGATTTTTTTAACCAAACATGCAGTAGAGAAAGTTGGTTTTTATCAAAATCTGATTTATACCATAATTATTATAATGTTAGCTGCTTATCAGTCCCAACTCATCATCGCTGTATAGAAGTTACCTTTTGATTCTATTCATTTAGAAATATTGCTAATATTGAAATACACATAAACAAAATGACATAAGATGTTTTATTTACTTCAAAATAAAACAATGGAAGGCTGGGAGTAGGAGGGGTTATGGATCAAATAGAAGTACATGAGTTGATTGCTGTAGCTGGTGATGGGTATACACAGAGTTAATTGTACTATTATTTCTACATTTGAGTATTTTTGAAAGTTTGCATAATAAAAAGTAAACCAAAAAATCACTTTGAGCCAAGTCCTCAGTTTTAAAGCAGTTAATAGCTAAAGTAGTTGTGAAATAATCTGGGTCAGGGTTGCTATTAAGATGCTGGCGTTCAGGCCAAGCGCGGCGGCTCATGCCTGTAACCCTAGCACTTTGGGAGGCCGAGGCTGGTGGATCACTTGAAATGAGGAGTTCGGGATGAGCAAAATTATGTTTCTTAAGCCTTATTACTGATGCTTGGGCCAAATTATTTAGGAACTTTTTAGTTCCTCCTTCTGGAATATCCTTGCCTTTTTACTGCCTCTACCCCCAATCTCTAAGTGAATTATAGGGCTTCATTGTTGTCCAAGTTGGAAATATACACAATGGTATATAAATTTTAGTAATAGACTAAGCATTTCTATAGCTTCCTATGGTTTGCAACATATTTTCTTTTATATTACTCCTCTAGAGCCTCACACAGTCCCCCTGGGTAAAGACAGGTATTGCTATCTTTTCACAGATGGAGAAAATGAATTTCAATAATAATTGTGATTTACCTATACTCAAATGTCACTGAGTGGTAGAGGGAGGTGTAGAGAGACCTAGAACCAGGTCTGAGATTACAGGGTCACTTGAACCAAGGTGCAATGAAGGGTTTTTCTTCATTTGAAATAATTTCACATAGACTCTTTCCAAGTCTTTTAGTTGTAGTTGTCTGATTTTCCACGTTACCTGTTCTACTACCCGCTGTCTTGGTTAAGGATCCCAAAGTCGTTTTTTTTTTTTTGAGACAGAGTCTTGCTCTGTCGCCCAGGGTAGGATTTTTTAAGTCAAGTTTATTGGCTGAGCACATGGCTCACCCAAATTTTACCATTCTATTTCATTAACAAAGGATCTTGTAGTGTTTGCTGCTGTAACAGACTGACGCAACCTTACAAAGTTTCAGAGGGCGATATTACACTTTTAAAAATTGTGTTAAAATAAATTCTAAGATCTAATTATTTTAAAATAGGTCAAAATAGTTTAGAAAATGCACTTTTACAATGTGCACTGTATTTTTCCTTCTCAGCACTGATCAAAGTTTCATTGTTATTTGTCTAATAAGTTTCTTCCTCCTCTACTCAATTATAAACAAGTGCTTTACAAGTGCTTTTCCAGTGCAGAACTCACAAACCCCAGAGAATACCTCTTAGATCCTAATTTGAGACACATTGCATTCAGAGTTAAATGCTATGACTGACTGAGGTGATCACTGCAGGTTAAAATGACTGTAAAAACAAATGCGGTGGATTCTGGAAAGATGGCAGAGTAGGAAGCACCACAAATCTGTTTCTCCACCTTGAAAACAATTTCAGTGGCAGCATCTGTCTGATGTAAATATTTTGGAACCTGGAGTCTACTGAAGGCTTGCAACTTCCAGGTGAAGGCTTCGACAGTAAACTGTAGTTAATTTCAGTCACCTGCAGGTTTAGCACAGGAGCAGCTACCCATACTCTATCCCTCAGTCAACTGTGTGATGCTTGCACAAGTCACGGTGGGCAAAGAAAATTACGTTCTCCAAATATTGGAGATCTGTGCTCTAACTGCTGCTTCTCATCACAAAGGTGCAAACAGGCTATGGATACTGCTGTTTCACCTCCTCCTCACTGTTGCAAACCCCACCCAAACCTCCCAGGCTGAACTGATTTCCAGGAGATTTAAAGAGCTGGAGCCTCCCCTTCCTACACACCAATTCAATTTTCTTTTTCCCCTTTTGGGAGCCAGACATTGAAGACTAGGACATTAAAAACCAACCACATATATGGAGGAAATTAGAAAGTCACTGTGTATGCCCAGGGGAAGGATAGGCTCAGAAAACATCTAAGAAGACCCTACGTTTACACCTGAGGCTGATCTTTGACAGCCTAAAACAATCACAAAAACAGTAACAACAAAAAAAGAAAATGGTGGAGAAGAAGGAGAATCTGATTTTCAGGGTCATCAAATTATTAAATTCAAGTGTGCTGTTTTCATGGGAAAAAGAAATCCCAAGGCATACAAATAAACAAGAATAAATGGCTTATTCAAAAAAGAAATACAAATCAACAGAAACTGTCCCTTAAAAAAAAATAAGGCCAGGTGTGGTGGCTTACGCCTGTAATCCCAGCACTTTGGGAGGCTGAGGCAGGCAAATCGTGAAGTCAGGAGTTTGAGACCAGCCTGGCCAACATAGTGAAACCCTGTCTCTACTAAAAATACAAAAAATTAGCTGGGTGTGGTGGCAGGCGCCTGTAATCACGCTACTTGGGAGGCTGAGGTAGAAGAATCACTTGAACCCAGGAGGCGGAGGTTGCAGTGAGCCAAGACCACACCAGCCTGTGCAACAGAGCAAGACTCCATCAAAACACAAACAAACCAACCCCCAAAACCTGATAGCAAATCTACCAGACAAAGACTTTTTTAAAGAACTAAAAGATGAGAACAAAAGCAAGAAAATGCTGTATGAACAAAATGGAAATACCAATAAGGAGAAATAAAAATTTATAAAATTCAGGAACTGAGAAGTACAATAACCGAAAATTCAGTGGAGGGATTCAAAAGCATATCTAAGTAGCTAAAAAAAATTAGTGAACATGAAGACAGGACAATGGAAAGTATTGCATCTGAAGAACAGAAATAAAAAAGATTAAAGAAAAGTGAACAGAACCTATGGGACCCGTGAGACATCATCAAGCAGACCAACTAATGCATTGTGGGAGTTGCATGAGAAATGAGAGATAAAAGAGTAGAAAAAAATATTTGAAGAAGTAATAGCCAAAACTTCTCAGATTTCATGAAAAACATGAATATAAACATCCAAGCAGCTCAATAAACAAGTAATGAAATCAAACAGACTCACACTGAGGCACATTATACTAGAACTGTCAAAGGACAAAAACAAAGGGAGACTTTTGAAAGCAACAAGAGAAGTGACTTGTCACATACAACAAATCCTCAATGAGAATATCAGCAGACTTCACGTCAGACGCTCTGGAGGTCATAAGGCAGTGGGTGGAAATAATGCTAAAATAAGAGGAAAAAGAAACCAAACCTGTCAACTAAAAATCCTGTATCCAGCAAGACAGTCCCTCAAAAGTAAGGGGGAAATTAAGATGTTCCCTGATGAACAAATGCTGAGGGAGTT